TCGTAAACCTCGGGGTACCTGCCGGAGTTGTTCGGGAGTCTGCTTCCTAAGCAATCTACCAGACAGTTTCGTGCATGCTTTTAGGCACTCTTTGAATTTACGTCCAACTGTCTCTTGTGCCCGTCCAAACAAAAGCCCTGCTGAATGTTGGGTCATGTTATGACCACATATCACAAGAAACATCYCCACAGTTTCTTCTACAGATATGTTTTTTGTGCATTTTATTCCATACTCTGTACGTAATATCTCACATAGCCGTGTGAACACCTCGATGCGCATTCTCAAGAGATGTAAGAAATCTCTTGGATAGTTGTAAATCCTTGTCTGAATGTTGCACCATCCTAATCCCCATTCAGTCCCCATTGGTTGTCGACGATAATACTTGTTATAGTAATCTATAACAGGCCGAAAGAGTGTTTCCATGATATCCATGTGCTCAAGACAAATTAGCTCAAGTAACTCATCTTCTGTGAGATTATGTAATCCGTGCGAATGTAACTCGATAATGCGAGAAACCTGAACATAAAAAAACTTCATTAAAGAACACTTTAAAAATTACATAACATGATACAGTTTAAGTAAACGAAAGATAACTAATATATTATACATTAAACAAGTAAATTAAAATAGTTATTCATTTAGATTTCGCCATCATTATCATTGTTTCCAACTGAGCGATTAAAGTCGGACAAATTAAAACGGTCGAGTAACTCTGCTGCAGACGCAGGCCTAAACGCCAAACCTTCACCAGAGACAACCCTAGGATTTGGAGATACATTAACTTCTGGGTTGGAGTTTGGAACTTGAAATRRGTGTCTTGATCTGAATTGGTTTGGCGAGCCAGAACCACCAAAATGTGAAAAACCAGCACCACCCACAGTATTTGAAAAACCAGCACCACCCAGATTCGAAGTCCCTCCAATGTTTGTAAAGTCAGCACCACCCAGATTTGAAGTCCCTCCAATGTTTGTAAAGCCAGCASCACCAAATTGGGCAAATCCTCCTACGCCTGGAGAACCTGATCCGCTACCAARGYATCRTCTACTACTTGGTCCARTCGAACCARTYAYTTGACGTTTCCATGGACTACCACGAYATGTACCAGACCGATCGTAACCTGTCAACCTTTCTAGAAAACGAATTCTTTCTTCATTATTTTTGAGTAACACAAATCTTTTTTGTTCAGACGGATCTCTCAAAATTTCTTATGATGCCCACCAAAAATCTGTAAATTTCTCTATGTCTTCTAGTTCATTCAACTTTAACCAAGATTCACGCTCATAATCTTCGGCCGTTTGGTTTCGTGCATTGAGCATCTGGATTGGAGCTTGCATAGTTGCAAGATATGACTCGATATTCGTTAAATGTGTATCCATAACAGCTCGTCTGCGTGGAGTCTGAGTGGTTTGCCGACTAGATTGGCTTCGTCCTCTACTAGT